CAGGAAAATGCCAAAAAATTAAGCAGATGAAGCACTATTAATATCAGACAAAATAGAACCCAAAGCAAATGACCTTAAAAGACATAGAGATATTTATAACAACATATAGACTAGGTGCAGTGGCTCATGACTGTAAGCCTAGCACTTTGGGGAGGCCCAGGCAAGAGGATTACTTGAGGCCAGGAGGCCAAGACCAGCCTGAACAGCATAATAAAATTCTAACTCTATTGAAAAAAATTTTTTTAATTAGCTAGCTATGGTTGCGTACACCTTATGTCCTAGCTATTTCGGAGGCTGATGTGGGAGGATCACTTGAGCCCAGGAGTTTAAGATTACAGTGAGCTATGCTTGGGCCATGGCACTCTAGCCTGGGCAACAGGATGAGACACTGTCTCTTAAAAAAAAAAAAAACAAACAGAAATACCAATAAAAAAACAGCATTTAAATCCACCAAAAAAGTTGAAAAGTCAGGAACTATTATATTATGCATCTAACAACACAACTTCAAAAGATACAAAGAAAAAATTAACAGAAACGTAATGAGAAATTAAGAAAGTCTCGAGTATCACAAGGGACCGTAACATATCTTTATATCAATTATCTACAGATCAAGTAAACAAACCCAAAAAACAACTGAGGAAAAAAAATAAAAATGTTAAGATTATAAAGGGGGAAAGAAACTAGTAGTTATATATAGATGATGTTATATACATAGCAAACAAAAATAACCTACATAAATTATCAGATATAAATAAGCTTAGCAAGGTTGCTAAGGTCGAAATGTAAAATAAATATCAATTACATATCTGTAGATCTATAATAAGCATTGCCAATTAAATTTTTTTCAAATTTATAAGACTATTAAAAATACCAACACCAAGAAATAAATCTAATGCAAGATGAACACCACCATATGTACACAGTAAGTGTGGGTGTGCGTGCATATATATATACGTACATAAAAATTACTGAGAGTAGGGCGCCAGCCCCATATACCAAGGGTGGTGGGCTCAAACCTAGCCCCAGCCGAACTGCAACAAATAGCCAGGTCTTGTGGTGGGCGCCTGTAGTCCCAGCTACTCGAGAGGCTGAAGCAAGAGATTGGCTTAAGCCCAAGAGTATGAGGTTGCTGTGAGCTGTGATGCCACAGTACTCTACCAAGGGCAACATAGTGAGACTTTGTCTCAAAAAGAAAAAAAAATTACTGAGAGTATTGAAAGTCAACCTAATAAATGGAGGGATATACTCTGCTGGAAGATTGGGAAATCCAATATTGTAGATATCAATTCCCCATCAAAATTCCAACAGGTCATTTTTTGATTTTTTGGAGGGTATGAAAAGGGGGAGGAGATTTAGTGGAAACTGACAAATTCTGATTCCAAAATTTCTATAGAAATACCAAGGGTGAAGATTAGCCAAGATACTATGGTGGCTGAATAAGTAAGAAATTCGGTTTAACTAGATATTAAAACTTAGAATAATTAGAGTATAGCACTATCATAAGGACCAGTAATTAGATCAAAGGAAGAGAACAGAGGGCCCAGAAAGTGACCCACATGTGGATACTTGATCTATTACAAAACTGACACTGCATGTCACTTTGAGGAAAGAATAATCTTTTTCAACAAATAGTGCTAGGTCAACTGGATACCTATCTGGAAAAAAATGAAACTTTTCTAGGAAATAACACAGAAAAACATCTTCTTAACAGTGGCACAGGGAAAAGCTTCTTAAGACACAAAAATAAAACAAAACAAAAAATATACAGGAAAACACTGATTAATTGAACTACAGTGAAATTAAGAATTCTATGCTTCAAAAGATACCACTGAGACATTTAAAAGCAAGCCACATCTTATTTTTATGATATTTACAACACATACAACTGAAAACTGTTCCATATAAATACTTCTGCTTAAAAAAACTACTAATCAATAAAAAGAAGAAATGAGAGAGAGAAGAAGGAAGGAAGGGAAAGGGAATCACAAGAGATAAAGAGGGAGGAAAAGCAAGAGATTTGAACTGGCACTTCACAAAAGACATCTAAATGGCCTATAAATACAGTAGAATTATAATACAGTATAAATAAGGGCTCATACCATTAGCCATCCATAAAATGTCAATTAGAACCCAAATTACACATCTATACATTGACCAAGTGGCTAAAATTTTAAAAACTATTGATAACAAGTGCTGGCAAGGTTGTGGAGCAACTGTTCTCCTACACTGCTCATGGGAATATAAAATGACAAAAATACTTTGAAAAAAACTTTATCTACTAGAGTTGGACAAGCACATATCCTATGACCTAACAATTATACTCTTGGGAATATACCCAACAGAAACATATGCACAGATGTACCAAGACACATGTATTAAGAACAATCAGAATGACTTTCTTTATAATCATCTAACACTGAAAACAACTCAGTGATTTAAACAATGGAATAAATTGGGATATAATTATTTAACAGAATATAGCAATGAACGCAAATCACAGCTATACAAACAGAACAGATGAATCTTACAAAGCATTAAGAGAAAGAAACCTGTCCCCAAAGAATATCTATTGGGTAATTCCATTTTTACTAAGTTTCAAGCCAGGTAAAACCAAAATATAGCATTAAAAATCAGAACAGTAAGGGTTAGCACCTGTAACAGTGGTTACGGTGCTAGCCACATGCACCAAGGGTGATGGGTTCAAACCCAGCCCAGGCCAGCTAAAGAGCAATGACAACTGCAACCAAAAAATAGCCAGGCATCATGGTGGGAGCCTGTAGTCCTAGCTACTTGGGAGGCTGAGGCAAGAGAATCTCTTAAGCCCAAGAGTTTGAGGTTGCTGTGAGCTGTGACACCATGGCACTCTACTGAGGGCGAATAGTAAAACTCTGTCTCAAAAAAAAAAAAAAAAAAAAAAAAAAAAGAAAAAGAAAAATCAGAACAATAATCTAGGAAAGAAGAATGGATAAAGATTAGAAGGGGTAGGCCCAACAAGAATTTCTTAGGTGCTGGTAATGTCCAATTTCTTGACTTAGATAGTAGTTATATAAATGTCTTTGTTTTCTGGTAATGAACTGAACTATGAATTTCTATAGTTATACTTTTCTACCTATATGTTCTATTTCAATTAAAAGGAAAACAAATTTCGTGGATGGGCAATCTCATCTGTCTAGAAAAATTCCAAACAATTACAACATTCCATATTTCATTAAAACTAAAACATTAACTATAAGACACATCATTATACATCAGTCAGAATTTTTCTTTTTTTTTTTTGAGACAGAGTCTCACTATGTCACCCTGGGTAGAATATCATGGCATCACAGCTCACAGCAACCTCAAAACTCTTGGGCACAAAAGATTCTCTTGCCTCAGCTTCCAAAGTAGCTGGGACTACAGGCACTCGCCACAACGCCTGGCTATTTTGTTGTTGTTGTTGTTCGTTGTAGTTGTCATTGTTGTTTAGTAGGCCCTGGGCCAGGTTGGAACCCACCAGCAGCCCAGGTGTATGTGGCCGCACCCTAACTACTGAGTATAGGCGCCAAGCCAATCAGAATTTTTCAATGTTCTTTAAAATGTTTATAATTTTAAATTTTACAATTAATTATTAAGTTATTATCAATTAAGAACACATCCCAATTTCAGAAATGTTCAAATGTGTGCCCAAGAACAAAACACAGTATCATAACAAGTAAAAGATTTCAGCACGGTGCCAGACAAAAAAGCAATTTACAAATCCAAAAGCTTTCCTTTAGGTAGCAATAACCAATTTCATAATATTATAAGAGAATTTCCCACTCATAATAGCTATAAAAACCTTATAATTTTTATAATATAAAGTCTAGAAATAAGCCTAATAAGGAATTTATAAAATCTACGTAAGTTAAATTATAAATTTCAACTGATGGGATGAAAAAGGGAGGATGAACAAATAGATGGGAAAGCTCCACACTGTAAAGACATCATTTCTCCTCCAGTTATTATAAACTCAGTACAATACCAATCAAAATCCCAACAGCATTTTTCAGGGAACTTGACAAGCTCACTCTACATTCCTCAGGAAGATGAGCAATGACTATCAGCAGAATTGTGAAAAAGAGCAGAGAGGAGAATTGCCTCATCAAATATTAAAATATGTAAGATGATTTGCCCATGAAATTAAAATTTATGTGTCCAAAAAGACATCATAAGAAACTGAGCAAGGAAAAATATTTATAATACATGTAAACCAAGTACAGGTCAAGATCCTTTTTATGTATAAATAAAATATATAAAGAACGTCTATACATCCGTAAACAAAAGACTCAGAATCCAGCAAGGAGATGAATTAAGGATATGCACAGGCAACTTACAGAAGAGAAAAAAACAAGCCTAAGGAATGTGGGAAGAAAGAATAACCCTCACTAGGAATTAGGGAAATGCAACGTAAAACAATAAGATACCATTTTCCACCAAGACTGGAAAATTTTTTAAATTTTACTACATAAAGTACTTGAGGAGGATATGGGAAAATATATATTGATGTTACTGTTAATCAAAACATAATTAGACACCTATTTCTAAGGGGCAAGTTGGTAGTATCTGTATGTGTACTTCACATCACCTAACAATTCTACTTCTTTGAATAACAAGAATTTATTATTATGTGAACAAAAACATTTATATCAAGTGTGTATGTATTTATCTATCATTAAAATATAATAAACTTTTTTTAAAAGTAGGGTTCTAACTTCTAACTCTATGGGAATTTTATTTTGGATATCCCCAATGCTACCATGCAGGAAAAGTATATTTTACTTTCCCCAGATTTCCTCTACAGAAGAATACTCCAGCCTCCTGCCAAAGGAAGCATCTTGGTTGCTATTTACTAATTCTAGATAAAGTTCATCTGTTATGATCTAGGTTCTAAATCCTGACTTTCTCCTCAAAGCAGTAACTGTTACACCCCAGATACTTTCAATGAATAAAATATCTCTCAGTAAATACTTTAAGACACATACCAACAAGAAGCTTCTTTGCCACTGGACGTCGACTTGCTTCCTGTGGCAATGTCTCCTTTGCTACAAGGGGTCTCCTCTTGTTCTTTGGCGATGGACTTGGCCATCTCTCTAATGTCCTTTGGCTACCAATAGGAAATCTACTCTGAATTTCACTGAAACATTTCTTCACCTTTTTTGGTGACAGTTTCTTTTCCAGGAGAGATTCCAAAGCCTGCCATGAAACAGTCAATTATTCTCTTAGTTTACCTCACAAAAGTATGACTTTTAATCATAAAACTGACAATAAGGACTACTGAGAAATGATTATCAAAATGTCAATTTAAAAATGTTCTTATTTAGGATATCTAATTAATTAGTGAAAATAATTTCTGTAAGTTCTTTTACATGTTTAGCTCACTAAAATCATTAGCAAAAAATAATGGATTTGACTACTTTAATGGCATCCAAATCCTACTTCTAAGGGGCAAGTTGGCAGTATCTGTATGTGTACTTCTAAAAATCATTTTAAAAATTAACTTATAGTCTTCAGAATTTAATCCTAGTGCTTTTAAAATCATTTGAAAGTAATTTTAGAAATTAACTTATAGTCTTCAGAATATAATCCTATTGCTTTAAAAGCATTTTAATTTTCAACAAAAACCTTTTAAACTCAAGTAGCCTTTCGATTAAGCAAACATAGTACATTTAACATACATTTTCATAAACTAACAGAAACTTAGACGGTCCAGTGGCTTTCACTACTTGTCTACCACGATTATGGTAGAAAATCTGTGTCCCTCCTTCCTAAAAAAGGCATATCCTCTATTAAGTACTCAGCAACTTGTTACCAGGCAATGAGGGTCCAGTCTCCATGTGGTCAGTACAAATTAAGGACAACTTAACATAGCCAGGGAGAGTTAGTTCAAATGATAATAAAGCAATAAGATAATAAGCTATGAAATGATACAGTATAGCAACAAGAAAGATAAATTTCTTACACTATTTAATAGTTTCAAAAGTAGGGGAGATAAACATTCTGTTTATGAAATATTGAAGGTACTCTTGCTCAAACTCAAAATGTAGGAGAGGAACTAAACACTCTTTTGAGAACCTTTCTAAAATTATGAATATATGTTGTCTAAATTAAATAATTTGGCATATGAGTGTTTTTAAGAATAAGTTTGAAAAGCATCACATGACTTAATCTGCTGCCTGCAGTTCTGAGGCAGGGGTCCTCAAACTTTTTAAACAGGAGGCCAGTTCACTATCCCTCAGACCACTGGAGGGCCGGATTGTGGGCCCTGGGATGAGTTGGCTGCTAAGCAGGACAGGCAGTGGCAGCAAAAACACCTAGCGGGCCGGATAAATGTCCTAGGCGGGCCGCACGTGGCCGGCAGGCTGTAGTTTGAGGATGCCTGTTCTGAGGTCTGCATTTGACATTAACATTCCTGATAGTTAGTTCTATATATGAAGGTAACCAATGCAATTCATAAACATATGAGGTTGGACACTTAAGTTCTCCAGCTCATCCAAGAAAAAGTGCTACACACCTCATTGCTGAATATCACTATGGTCACCTTCAAAGTACTATCCTTGGGAAGCTATGCACTGACCAACACCAGCGCCCACTTCACCCAATTTTGGAACTCTTTTTCTAGAATGGCCATCAGAGCTGTTGTCATACGAGGTCAGACGATTAAGTTCATGAACTTGTCCTAGAAAAAGGACTTTAAAGGGTGGATTAGGCAGTGGTGTTGGTGCATAGTTTCCCATGGAGAATACATTGAAGGAGACCATAGTGATATTTAGCAATGAGATAAGTGGCACTTTTTCTCGGATGAGTTTGTGCATTTAAGTGTTTGACTTCATATTTCCAGTTCCGAACCCACCACCTTAGGTGTATATGGCTGGCGCCTTAGCCATTTGAGCCACAGGCACCATGCCCTCAAATCTTGAGATATAGCTAGAGACTTCTAGATATCATAGTTGGCATGTGCAAATCAGGAAAGGGTAGTGTTCTTAGTTCTCTTTGGTGATGGAACTGTAAAGATAGAAGGGCCCTAAAGACCACCAAGAGCTAGTTAATAATGGCACAGCTGGCATGTCATTTAGTCCAGAATTCTCTCCCCTATACCATCATTCTACAGCTAACAGCTTACTACGCTGCTAAATGAAGATCACCTTTTATTTCTGGATGATAACATATAGTGTAGTAGAAATAGTAACTGGCATGCAAGTCAGAAGACCAGAATTTGATTTCCAACTCTCCAAAAAAAATAATTTTTGAGTTATCTCACTAACGTTTGCTTCTTTAAAAAAAAAAAAATCAGTCTACAAAACAGCAGCAATAAAACTAACTAAAAATTACACTGCTACAGTAAGGATCAAATGGCATATTATGTGGTAACACAGTGCAAACTTTGGAGAACTATAAAATTAAGAGCTTACTGCTATTGTTGTCTTTGTCACCAAAGAGAACTAAGAACACTACCCTTTCCTGATTTGCACATGCCAACTGTGATATCTAGAAGTCTCTAGCTATATCTCAAGATTTGAGGGCTTGGCGCCTGTGGCTCAAATGGCTAAGGCGCCAACCATATACACCTAAGGTGGTGGGTTCAAATCCAGCCCGGGACCACCAAACAACAATGATGGCTGCAACCAAAAAATAGCCAGATGTTGTGGCGGGTGCCTGTGGTCCCAGCTACTTGGGAGGCTGAGGCAGGAGACTCGCCTGAACCCAGGAGTTGGAGGCTGCTGTGAGCTGTGATGCCACAGCACTCTACCCAGGGAGACAGCTTGAGGCTCTGTCTGTCTCAAAAAAAAATAAGATTTGAGGCTTTGGTTCTAGATAATGTATCTTTAAGTGTTTCTTCTTTCCTAAAATCAATCTAGATTAAACATTAATATTCTAATCTAAGCACTAATTTAAGAATGCTTTGGGGCAGCGCCTGTGGCTCAAAAGGGTAGGGCGCTGGCCCCATATGCTGGAGGTGGTGGGTTCAAACCCAGCCCCGGCCAAAAAAAAAAACAAACAAAAGAATGCTTTACTATTTTCCTTTTCTTTGCTAATAAATTCTTTCTTAAATGGTATGGCCAGGGGATGGAACATTCTATTTAATTAATGAACCGGTTTAAAGTTGTTATATGTTTTATACTCAAGTCACCAATTTTCAAAGAAATAAAATACATATATAGACAGAGACTAGACTGTAAAAAGGATAAAATAAAAATGAAGTGTTTCTTCTGCCCCCTGTAAAGATTTAATTTACTACTAGGTAGGAGCGTTGTCTTGTCTTGTTCTGCATAAATCCTCATGAAACTAGGCAATAGTAAACATTACTTCCAATATACTTTGAGCAAAAAAATGGAATCAATTTCATACCTCAATTTGTTGCAGAATATCTATAACCACGTCAGGAACAGAAGGATCAGCATCCAGCCTGGCAGAACAAAGTGAAAGCTGGCGGATAAGGCTGCCCAGTTCCCTATACCGAGTAGGAACTGGGTGCTCCCCGCTGTCAGTAAACTGAGTGACAAACATCTGTAAGGCTCGAATGGCTCCTCGATGGGCAGCTGCCAGCCTAGACATTGCCCACGACTGGCAATAAACAAGATGTGAGAAGTTATTTCAAAATTCAGAATTTCCGAATACTACCTGATCGTTAAGAATATTAATAATGTATCTTCTTTCTACATAAAATGGTTCCTATTGTGAAAACTTATTTATGGTAAAAGGAATGGTAAAATTTAAAGTCTTCTAATGACAAAGTCTTTTCCTTCCTATTCTCAGTGTCTTATATCAGCAGCAACAACAATATATATTCTTCAGAACATGTTCGGGCAACCCCATATTCAGAATAATGAAGTGCTATTCTCTCACTAATGGTTTCTACAAGCACTGAAAAGAGTATTAGTGCAGAGAACTCACACGCAATACTAACAAAATACTGGGAAATGTAATCATAGATAACTTAACTGCATCATACCTTCTTAGTGTGTTTAATTTTATGTGGACTCAATTTATCCAATTCTTCCTGTATTTCTTTTACCTGTTTTGTAAAGGAAAAAAAGGAAAACTTTGTACCTTTTCACTGATTTTTTTTGTAGAAAGGGATATATCCTGCCTTGTCCAAATATAACCATTATTAACTCAAATCACTTGCAAATGAGACAAGTCTCTTCACACATCCAAAAAATAGTTATTGGTTTCCAGTCAAGATGGTGAAGAGAGCACAGTGTTCACCTTCCATCCCTTGGTCCCCGATGTAATAGGAATTTAACATGATGGAACGAAGGAGGAGGTGACTCTGGAAAGGTAGGAGGACCAGAGCATGAAGTCTTACGTGACATGCTAAAGAATTTAGCTTTCATCTTCAAAGTTACAGAGAGCCACTGAAGTCTTTTAAGCAGAGGTCTAACATGGTAAGATTCATGTTTTTAGAACAATCTCTAAATGACAGCAGTGTAGAATAAAGAACTAAAATAGAACCCAAAAAGAATACAGAGCAAAATCTAAGTCAGACATATTATTTTAAACAAAAAAGTACAGTTTTTGATTTAAGCAACAAGGCCAACACAGAATAACTAGAAGCTAGCTAAAAGCTTACTAAATAAGGAATTAGGTGAAACAAACATTTTTTAAAAAATCTGTCGCAATCTGAACATGTTGGCTCACGCCTGTAATCCCAGTACTCTGGAAGGCTGAGGTGGGTGGATTGTCTGAGCCCAGGAGTTCTAGACTAGCCTGAGCAAGAGTGAGACCTTGTCTCTACTTAAAATAGAAAAATTAGCCAGGTGTTGTGGCAAGTGCCTGTACTCCCAGCTACTCTGGAGGCTGAGGACAGGGGATCACCTGAGCCTAAGAGTTTGAGGTTGCTGTGAGCTATGATGCCACAGAACTCTACCTAGGGTGACAAGAGTAGGATTCTACCTCAAAAAATAAAGAAAAAAAATCCATTGCACTCTAAAGAATGAAAATACCTGTTTATCAGCTACTAAATGTATCCTGAAAGACACTTATCAGTCTTCATTCTTTATGTTTAATAAAGAATAATCAAATTACTTATTATTTACTAAGCCTCTAATACAGTGGTTCTCAACCTTCCTAATGCTGTGACCCTTTAATACAGTTCCTCATGTTGTGGTGACCCCCCCTCCCAAGCATATGGTCACCACAACATGAGGAACTGTATTAAAGGGTCGCAGCATTAGGAAGGTTGATAATACATTATAAACATGAGACAGCTGGGAAACTAACAAGGTCCCTTTCCTCTAAGACCAGGGTTCATAACTGGGGACTAAGGGTTTCGGGGTAACTGATCTACTCGACTTACTAGCAAAAACATGTGCTGTCATGTTAGGGTCCAAGAGTCTATGACTTCAAAAAGTCAAGAACCACTGCTTAAGGAGTTCAGCCATGCACACATCATACACACACAAAGACAAATCACAAAAAGAAAAGAATTATTTGTTTACGTGTTCAGGAAATTTAGCCTCACAAATCTGTAGGAATTCATGTAACTTTGATGCTAATCTTTCTGAGACAACAGGAAAACTGAAATTTTCTAAGAAAGCAATGCACAAGGCTGACTGCCTCACTTCTCCTGGGCTTTCCACACCTGCTGCTGGAGGACGTAGAGCATTCGGGCAGAACGAACAGCTTGCTCCTGTCTCCTGACACGGATTCGACGTTCTTCATCTGGATCCAAAGCTGCTTCTAGTCTGCCTGAAAATATTTTCCCCCACGAAGGTGGATTATAAACCATATATATGAAAACTTACATTTATGAAAATTTAAAGAAATAATAAAGCTGAAGATCTCTCGTTTTATTAAGAAAAAAATAAAGTTGTCATAACAGAAAATTTCACTTATTATCAGCCAAGAAACTAGAAATGAGTAGGACTGTGTGCTGACTCAGAGATAGGAGGGACATGAAGATGTTAACATAACCAGGCGTCTCTCCAGGCCAGAAGTCCCCAAACCAAATCCCACTGGACAGCTATTTCAATGTGAAGCATTTCTTGCTATTTTATAAAAATTCTTTAAATTGAGCCAAAATCTGTTATGCTTTCTATTTTTTTCAAAAACTCTTTATCGGCCATTTTTATGTTTAGTAAGATTATTTTTACACATTCTTATCTTGAATCCAAAAGAGAAATCTTTCCTCTAACACATTAAGATAGCAAGTTTTAAAATTATTTGAATGTCTAAAATCTTCATATATTTGTCAGGATATACAGGAAACATATCCTGTATACACTGGCGTTCCACATTTTCAAAAGATTCGTTCAAACAAATTGTTTCTGGAGGATTGCCTGAGGGAGATGCAATCTATCCACACTTTCCAGCCTGTGGTTGTCAAAGACATTTATACAAACAAATTCTCCTATTAAATTTCTAACACACACATCAGAGAAAAGCAGTATTTTATTAGGATAGGTGTATTTTATAAATTTAAACATCAAGCAGTGAAAAGAGTATAAGGGTGTTTTGAAGAAGGCAAAACTCTGAAGTCAGGAGTTGTTTATGTACATGCAGTCTCATGGGAGCCTTACAGGCTAAATTATCTCCATCACTTGTTTGGGTTGCACAGTGGGGAAAATGTCCAGATTTACAGCTTGTAAGAATATAAATGGGAACTAGCCCAGACAGGGGTTTTAGCTGCTCCCCTTCCAAGGATTCTGATGCAGCCAGTCTACAGAGCAGCACTTGGGAAGCACAAATGGGCACCTTAGGTCAATGGAAAAGGGAGCCTGCAGCTAGAGGCCGTTGCAAGCTATTACCAGTACCACAAAATACGTGCAGAAAGTCAAAGTATATATTTACATGCTTTTAAAGCAATTTGGCATTTTTGTCACATTTCCATTCTAGTTTACAAAGTATTGATTTGAGACATGTTAAGAATTTAAACAAAGAAAACAAAATAACCAGTTTTTCCCCTCACAGAGAGTTTGAAAGGTCTGCTCAAAAAGTCCCCCTGCATTAATATTAGAACTGATCACCAGAACAGTGGGCCTCCTGAAGCCACTCTCCTGGCAACACCATGGCTTCTGTCCACAAAATGTGGCGGGGCCCTGCTGCAGACTGACACTAAGGAATGTTATGAGAAACGAGCCATACCACTTTTGTTATTTTTATAGCAGAATGTTTTTTGCATTATTCATGATACCACACAACATACTCTCTTCTCTTTTTTTTTTTGAGACGGAGCCTCAAGCTATCCCCCTGGGTAGAGTGCCATGGCACCGTGCTCACAGCAACCTCCAACTCCTGGGCTCAAGCGAGTCTCCTGCCTCAGCCTCCCAAGTAGCTGGGACCACAGGCGCCCGCCACAACGCCTGGCCATTTTTTTGTTGCAGCCATCATTGTTGTTTGGCGGGCCCGGGCTGGGGATTCGAACCCGCCACCTTAGGTGTATGTGGCTGGCGCCTTAGCCACTTGAGCCACAGGCGCCGAGCCTTTTTTTCTTTTTCTCTTCCCCTCTCTCTCTCTCTTTCGCTCTTTTTTTTTTTTTTTGTGATTTTTGGCTGGGGCTGGGTTTGAACCCCCCACTTCCAGCATATGGGGCCAGTACCCTACTCCTTTGAGCCACAGGCACTGCCCATCTCTCTCTCTCTCTCTTTTTTTTTTGAGACAGAGTCTCAAACTGTCACCCTGGGTAGAGTGCCATACCATCACAGCTCACAGCAACCTCAAACTCTTGGGCTTAAGTGATTCTCTTACCTCAGACTCCCAAGTAGCTGAGACTACAGGTGCCCACCACAACACCCAGTTGTTTTTTTTTTTTCTTTGTAGAGACAAAGTCTCACTCCATTGCCCTCGGTAGACTGCCATGGCGTCACACAGCTCACGGCAACTTCCAACTATTGGGCTTAGGCGATTCTCCTGCCTCAGCCTCCCGAGTACCTGGGACTATAGGCGCCGGCCACAACGCCTGGCTATTTTCTTTCTTGCAGTTTGGCTGGGCTGGGCCTGAACTCACCACCCTCAGTATATGGGGCGGGCACCCTACCCACTGAGCCACAGGCGCCGCCCAGTTATTTTTTGTTGTTGTTGCAATTGTCATTGTTGTTTTAGCTGGCCCGGTCCAGGCTTGAACTGGCTAGCCTCGTATGTGACTGATGCCCTCCCAGTGAGCTACAGGTGCTACCTGTTTTATTTTGTTTTTAAGACAGAATCTCACTCTGTCATCCTGGGTAGAGTGTCGTGGTGTCATAGCTTACAGCAACCTCAAACTCTTGGGCTCAAGAAAGCCTCTTGTCTCAACCTCCCAAGTAGCTGAGACCACTAGTGTTACCACAACACCCTACCCGTTTTTGTTTTTCTTTCTATTTTTAGTAGAAACAGGGTCTTATTCTTGCTCACACTGGTCTCAAACTCCTGAGCTCAGCCTCCCAAAGTGCTAGGATTGTAAGCTCGAGGCACCACACTTGTCTCACACAAACAGACTCCTTAAAAAGACCCACAAGAGAAATTTCTTTCGGGCTTTAGTATGTGGAATAATTATTTTCCTTGCACTATTGTTTTTTCTATTTTCGACTTTCTAATTCTGCAACTGATGACAGTTCGCTCCTTAGCTGGTTCCTAGGAAGCTCAGAAACACATACATAACTATCCCTACTGTATATTTTTCCTTTCCTAAGTTTTTCCTATGCCACACTATCCTCATGTACATATTTTTATCTTGTTCAATCACAGGTGTTTCTTTGTTACCTTAAATTCTTTATGTAACATGCACATATGTACATATGCATATATTAAATTTAAAATGCAAATGAAAATTCTACACTGTGTACTATCCCAGCACAATAGTTCCTTTTGATGATTAACACTTTACTCCTTGCAGTCTGAAAACTGAGCCTGATTCCCTACTTATTAGCTATAGTGGCCCAAATTTTCCACATGGAATCAATCTTCTACTCCCCAGGAAAATTCAAGAGCCCTGAGAAGACCAAAGAATTATAGAAAACAATATATTATATACCTTTCTTTCTATTCTACCCTGTGGTCAGATATTTCATACATATACCCACAATGTCCCTTGTCACTAGTGTGTACTCATATAAACAGTACCCAAAAAGAGGGACTCTACCTAACAAATTCAAATATTGTGACCTGGTTGTTTATACTCTCACATTAACCTAAAATAAATAAATAAATAAAATAAACATACCCAAGTGAGAACTGGTTTATCTACAATACGCATACAGTATGCTCTTTTTCTGAGAAAATTAAAAAGAATTTTGCCAGAAGGACTACTGGAAAAAGAATTAAAACATTACAAGATTAATTCACACTCAGATGCCAGGAGACCTAAAGTTCAAACAGCAGGTACCTAAGGTTCAGATGGCGGCTCCCGCAACTCCTCTTTCAGTGCACATACAGAGTGAGCCTACAGTGAAGGAGCTCTTTCATGCACCTCTGCTGGTAGGCGCTAGGGCAGAATAGACTCTTGGGAGAAAGAACTCTCCAGACTCCAAGTCCTACTGTCCTATCATGAGTGCTCACATCTTAGTGAACCAACACAAAGAAGAAAGGAATGGAATTAGTGGTAGGGTACGGGAGTCCTGAAAGAACACATTTGGACTATCCTGTACTCATGACATCAGGTCAAAATGAAGAATCTAATTTTTCTCACCTTTTTTAGTTACCTCTTCAATTTTGTGGATACAACTGCTCAATTCTTTCTGAAGACGCTGGACTTCTAGTAGGCTTTTCTGTTCATTTAAGTTTTTGTGGTCACTTATCCCGGGATGGGGCTGACAGAGTCCTGGATCACGGGTGGGTGGCGAATTTGGCATGGTAAGACTTGAATGTCCTCGGTGAGGCGTGTACAGGTACACCTGGGCACCAGAGCTGGAGATTTCTACTTTGGATGGCTGGTGGCTGCACTGACAGACTTCTTGACTCTTTGATTCCTTCCTTTCCACTCTGTGGTCAGATAGTTTATACTTAGTATGTCCACATCTCTGTGAGTTTTGGGGCTGAATTCTAAGATGATGCTCCTTGATGCGTTCTTCGAATTGTCTTCGTTTAACATCTCTTTTGGCTAGGTGCACAGCATAGCTAAGTCTCTCTTCTGATATGACGGAAAATGAAACAGAACTGCATAGGTCAGGATCGACTCTACAATCTGCATCTTTACAATGGTATGATTCATTGTACGAATGCTTCAGTTTTTCAATTCTAATTGCATGTGGGCAAGAATATCGGATTGCCAAGTTGCTTGGATGTGTAGGAACATTCCTATTAAACTGCAGCTGGTTCTTCAAAAAGTAAATAAAAGTAGGCAGAAATTAGAGAAATAACATATTACATAGTTGGTATATGTCAATAGGCAAGTTTCTAAAATTTCACCTACCGAGTTTTAGTGCTAAGGAGCATTTCTCTGTTGCACTGGTAGAACCGGCCACTTTCCTAAACAAGTGATTCATCACATACCCCTGGTTCTGTGGTACAGTCTTACATTCTTAATATCTTCTGGAACCATCCTCTAAAAGTCAACCCAAAAAACTTGAAGCAGCAATCTGTAAATCTCTCAACTCCCCTGTTACAAACTTTCATCCTGCTTCCAAATATCAGGTTCCAAGGATCATTAGGACTACTATGATAAACTATACGCCAATAAATTGGAAAAACTAGAAGAAATGCATAAATTCCCACACACATCCAATCTACCAAGACTAACCCATAAAGAAATCCAGTAACAAATAATGAGAAGCAATAATAAAAAGTCTTCCATCTAAGAAAAGTCCAGGACCCCAGTGGCATCACTGCTGAATTCTATCAAACATTTAAAGTAATACCGACCCTACTCAAACTTCTCCAAAAAAATCAAGGAGGGAACATTTCCAAACTCATTCCATGAGGCCCACAGCACCCTGATACCAAAACCAAACAAAGACACAACAAAAAATGAAAACCTACAGGCCAAGATCACTGATAAACACAGATGCAAAAACCCTTAACAAAATATTAGGGCTCGGCACCTGTGGCTCAAGCGGCTAAGGCGCCAGCCACATACACCTAAGGTGGCAGGTTCGAATCCCCAGCCCGGGCCCTCCAAACAACAATGATGGCTGC